AGCAAGTGCCATGAGCCTGTTACCGTGGTAACAAAAAGAAACGGAATGTCTGCTCACACGTTATAATTATAAAAAAGTACAGAAATGTGAACACCCACTATTTTTGTGCATTAAAAAAAACAAAACAAAAAACACAAGCAAAATAAATTTAAAACTGCAAACAATGTTTTGGAAGCAGCCAACAAAGATGAACTCATACTCTAAAGCTAACGATACTAGAGGACAACATCTACATCCCGGGGGTCCCACCATCCTTAGTATGCGCCTACTGACACCATAATGTCATAAGGCAGCATGCTGTTTTATTGTAGTGTGAAGGAACAAAGGCAACAAAAACCCAAACCAGAGGGGTAACAATAACTTTAAAAAATGACTGCTCTCTTTGAAGATTTGTTAAAGCTGAACTCCAGGAACAGTGTCCATAATGCAGAGGTTAACTGCATTTTTTTGTCTAGGGGACAGGTAAAGCAGTTTTTCTTACCCAATCCCCCCTCTCTTAGACTCCTCTGCCCTGCTAGACTGGGCAGGTGGGTACCTGCAGAACCAGGCTCCAGCTGCAGTCAGCGGACAGCCCCAGCATGAATTTTAACAGGCATGGGCGCGAGGCATCTTGCCCAACAGCAACGCAGGGCTGGAGGAAGAGGACGACTGTCCTTGACCCCAGTATTAGCATTCTCCTTCTAGTGTGGCCATGTACAAGGTACCCTTTCCATTTGGATACGTGTGCGTGCAACAGTCTGTTTTGATTGTACTTGGATAAAAGTATTTTTATAGTTCTAGATGGATGCATTTCCCTTTTTCCCTTTTTTGTCTTTGTTTAGATTTACCCTCACCTCCAGTGACAGCTAAAATACTGAAGCTTTCCAAGATTGAGTTGTTAATGGGCAGCTTAAGTTGGTAGACAGGCAGGCCTCAACTAAAGCAATAAATGGCGACATATCTGCACGGTTGTATCTATGAAGCACTAGAAACTACTGGAACCAATATTGACCTGATGGAGCCGATAACCGAACAGAAAAAATCTTGTCCCCTTTTCACCACATTCATTAGCCATTCATTCTTGCTGTTCAAGAATAAAAAAAAAAAGCCGGGGGAAAAAGTCAGTATATGCGAGTGACAATTACAGAAACTGAAAACGGTTGTCCAGTCTCCTCGGAAAAAAAATTAAATTAAAAAGTCAGCAGGTACAACAAACTGTAGCTACTGACTTTTAAAAAACAGCCACTCACCTGTCCCTTTGATCCAACGGTGTGTTCACCCCAGCCAGGTTCACCGGCCATCCTCTCTCCCTGGTGCAGGAATCTTAAAGCGGAGTTCCGTGAGGCTTCACAGCCGGTTTCCCACTGCGCATGTGTGAAGGGACCGCAGTCCCCTAGGCAGGACCATCTTTAATATTGATGGAACCCATGGCAAATATTTTCTTTGGCTCCTTCCATGAAATTTCGCTCTCCACCTGCTCTGAGACATACAATAAATAGAAGCTAAACTCAAAATCAGTTTACTCTAGCAGATCAGGCAACAATTGCAATTGATTGCCGGAGGTTACAGTATATCATTACTGCTCACTGACTGGTTGATAGAGGTTACAGCACACAATACGGCTCACTGATTAATTGCTAGAGGTTACAAAGCACGATTTCTGCTTGCGGATGGGTTGCTAGAAGTTACTGCACATCCTTACTGCTCACTGATTGGTTGCTAGAGAGTACGGCACATGATTACTGGTCACTGGTTGGTTGCTAGTGGTTACTGCACATTATTGCCACTCACTGATTGCTTGTTAGAGGTTACTGCACATCAATACCGCTCACCCATTGGTTGCTAGTGGTTACTGCACATCCTTACCACTCGCTGGTTACTAAAGGTTACAGCACTTAATTACGTCTCACTGATTGGTTGCTGAAGGTTACAGCACATCTTCTCCTCACTGCCTGCATACCATGGACTGAGAAGGGGACCCACTAATAGACAGAAAATTCCTAGGACTCCTGGGATCATGGGCAGTGCTTGGGGTGGGTGGGATCAGTAGCAGTGCTGGATGGGGATGGGAGGTGACATTTCTACACCAACCATCAATGTTAGGGGGGATGAAAACTGATGACCAGTGTAATAGGGAATTTGCATTGACCACCAATGTAATGGGCGATTTTACTCCAGCAACCAATACATTTCTACACTGGCCACCAATGTAAGGGGGAATCTACACTGACCACTAGCACATGTGTTGATAGCTGGAACCTTGGGGTCATAATATACATATGAATGTCACTGCTATACACATATGACTGCCACATTGCCATTGCTAATTACATATGAATGCCACCTTTATTTACATGTGAATGCTGACACAGTCTGCACAGGTGAGTCATGTATATATGGCAATAGGACAGAGATGGGCAGCATAAGTGACAGCACTTCACACTGAGATATGGGACACAGCATGGGACAAAGACTTCCAGGGACAAGGGAATGTAAACCAGTACAGGTATGGGACAGCTGCTTTGAGCCCCACAACAACTGAGTCAAAACCAGGTACCCGCTCCCCCCCCCCCAAAAGGTGCCAAATGTGTCAGCAGAGGGGGGGAGGAGGCAGATAAGCAGAGCTTCCACTTTTGGGTGGAGCACTTTAAGTGAGAGCACCCAGTGTGACAGCTTGCGGCTTCACAGCTGGGTGCCCACTACGCATGCACTAGCATGCGCTGTGCATTGTGAATAGTCCCACAGATTTCTGACACCTGTCATGTGTCCCAGAAGACTATGGGAGGGAGGTGGGTGGAGGAGAATTTCGCTTTCAATCTCCTAAGTAGTCAGAGTGGAAGTGGGAACCTGTCAAAAACGGGTACTCACTCCCAAAAGGTGCCAATTCTTCATGGGGAATGGAGGACCAGTCTTTAAAGCAGAACTTCCCCCTTTGGGTGGAGCTCCACTTTAGGTGCAGTGCATGAAATGTATATTGATAACTTTGTAAACTGTTGGCGCTAAACAAATCCTGTATAATAAAGGAGATATAAAAGAAAGTACTCCTTCACTATCCAATCAACCAACAGTGCAAATTGGAGGCCAAGCTGCATTACCAATTGCAGTGGATAAATGTGGCTGTGCGAAACACAGGACTGGCTGCACAGAATTACAAATCCCTAAAACAGTACAACTACTCACCTATAGGTATTTCACCTTTATAATCGCATTGAGCCCAGCTTGATAAATGCATTCAATGAATATACTGTCCAACACATTAAAACGTACAGTAATGCATGAAATGCCCACTAAAATATACTTTAAACACAAAAATGACCTGTCCCTAAAGCTAGGGTCAAAGCACACACATAGGTAAAAAAAAAAAAACAAAACAAAAAAAATCACGTGCAACACACTTATGAGAAATCGTAAAGCGCAAAATCCAAGGGCAGCCAACTCTACTCCGCTCAACCAAAATAAACATTACGCCAAAATGGGTTTTACTTTGGAACGGACATTTTTTACATCTTTCATAAAGTACGTTTTCAAAAAAAAAAAAAAACAAAAACAAACACACACACCACAAAATCTCAGCATGCCATTCATTTTTATGTAAAAAAAAAAAAAATACACACACAGTCTTCCACATATGCCACAACAGAAAGCTATAAAACTCATCAGGCTAAATAAGTATCCTGAACAGAAACTTACTTTCACACATGTTTTCCTGGGAGCTGCCATGTTGATTAGTGAAAATCCAAAGTTCTGACTACACGCCAACAGTGGTGAGAAGAGATCCACCCATTGTAACCCGGAACACAACTTCTCAGTGCCTTTAAAAATTCCAAGTAAGTCAAGCCCCTGCTTGTAGGTCTGTAGGCTTCTGCACAAGCCCAGCTCTGCAATTATTATTACAAGTGTCCCAGACTGCTGCCGGAATACACTGCCTCTTTATAAATAAACAGTCAACTGTAAATATATCTGGACAGGCTGTTAAAGGGGCGGCTGACAAACTGCCACAGGAATCCCACAGAGTTTAAAGACAGTGTGATGACTTTAATGATAGTGGGAGCTCAAGAGTGTTAACAGCTTCAAAAAATCTTGGTAATCCTTCCAATTTCACCAAAAAACTCCCCTTTCATGTATTTTAAACAATTGTTTAAGGGTGAGAGAAATGCTATGCTAGTCCCTGTAAGAAAACAAAGTGTTTGGATAACCTGAGAAGTGGCCAAGTTTGCTCCTGGATGAAGATAAAAGGACAATTAAGGGGGGGGGGGTGCACAGAGGGGGACTATACATCAATCAATTAAGGTCTACCTAGCTAACCTAGTAAAGGGTAGATAGTTTGGCTCATTAAATTGCTCACCTTTTTGAGCTACCTTAACCACTTGCCTACCAGGCACTTATACCCCCTTATTTACCAGGCCAATTTTCAGCTGTCAGCGCTGCCGCACTTTGATTGACAATTGCGCGGTCATGCAACATTGTACCCATATGAAATTTTGATCATTTTTTTCTCACAAATGGAGCTTTCTTTTGGTGGTATTTAATCGCCAATGGGCGCTTTACTTTTTTGCGCTATAAATAAAAAAATTGCAAAAAATTTGAAAAAAAAAAGTTTCTTTGTTTCTATTATAACATTTTTCAAACAGGTAATTTTTCTCCTTCACTGATGTGCGTTGATGAGGCAGCACTGATGGGCACTGATAGGCAGCACTAAAGGGCACTGATAGGCAGTACTAATGAGGTGGCACGGATAGGCGGCACTGATAGACAGCACTAATGAGGTGTCACGGATAGGCTGCACTAATATGCAGCACTGATAGGCGGGAGTGATAGGTGACACTGATGATGGGTACTGATAGACGGCACTGACTGGCATCACTGCTGGGCACTGACTGGCAGCACTGACTGGCACAACCGCTGGGCACTGACTGGTGGCACTGACTGGCAGCACTGCTGGGCTGCACTGGTGGGTGGCACTGGTGGGCAGCACTGGTGGGTGGGCACAGGTGGGTGGGCACAGGTAGGTGGCACTGCTGGGCACAGGTAGGTGGCACTTCTGGGCACAGGTGTGTGACACTGCAGAGTGGCACAAGTGGGTGCACTGCTGCTGGGCACAGGTGGGCACACTGCTGGGCACAGGTGGGCGGAATTTGCGGGTGGCACTGCTGGGCACCGATCATCAGGGCACTGATCATCAGTGCCCTGATGATCGGTGCCGATCCTCGCTCTGACAACTGCCGGTTCTCGGCAGTACTTTCCTCACGATCTGACAGCGTGAGGAAAGTGCAGCCGAGAACCGGCACTTGCATTTCCCTCTGATCAGCGTGTCATTGGACACCGCTGATCACGTGGTAAAAGGCCGCTGTGATTGGCCTTTTACCACATCACGTGATCAGCTGTGTCCGTAGGACACAGCGATCACGGAGATCGCCGGGTGTGCGCCCCGTGGAGCGCGCGCAGGAGAGCGCGTTCTGGGAGGACGTCCACCCAGAACTGGCCGGCCGCAGATCAGCCGTAATTCGGCTATCTGCGGTCGGCAACTAGTTAAGACAGCCCCTTTACACTGAATGGACCCTAAACACAAAAAATAGAAATGCACAACTTCTTGCCACTGCAGTGCAGGACAATGCACAAAGCCAGGGGCGGACTGACGATTTGGAAACTCGGGCACTGCCCGAGGGCCCGGGGTCAGTAGGGGGCCACATGAGATGCCCCTGGTACCTTTTTCATAGGCTTTTTTGAGTTTGGCCAAGGGCACAGGGGCCCCATGATCCCCTATTGCCTGGGGGCCCCATGAGTTGTCAGTCCGCTCCTGCAAAAATCCTTCACATTTGTGCGTTCAGGTGTATATGTGCATGGCGGTGCCATTCAGAATAAAATGGCAATGCACTAACTTAAATACAATGTCCCTGGAATTCATAAAGATTGGTGCAGACAGATTTTGTGAACATGTCATGTGTTTTAACCACTTGCCCTGTAGAGGATTTACCCCCCCCCCCCCCCCCCACTTCCTTTTTTGACCAGGCCATTTTTTGCAATACGGCGCTGCGTTACTTTAACTGACAATTGCGCGGTCATGCAACTCTGTACATAAATTACATTTATCATTCATTATTTCTCTTGCAAATCTTTCTTCCAGTGGTATTTGATGTGTTTTTTTTATTTTTTGCGCAATAAGCAAAAAAAGACTTTTTGCTATAAAACATATCCAATAAAAAATTTTAAAAATCTAATTTCTTCATAAATTTAGGCCAAAATGTATTTTGCTATGTCTTTGCTAAAAAAAAAAATCCCAGTAAGTGTATATTAACTGGTTTATATGAAAGTTATAGGGTCTACAAATGGCGGTATATATATATTGGAATTTTTATTTTTCTAATACTAGTAATGGTGGTGATCAGCGACTTATAGCAGGACTGTGGTGGGCATTCTGACACTGGATGGGAACTAACTGCCAGTGACATACCCAGTGACAAGAATACAGTGATCAGTGATAATAAAATGCACTGACACAGTTTTAATGACACTGAATGCACTGATACTGTTCTAATGACACTGGGCAAAAAGGGGTAACATCTGGGGTGATCAAAGGGTTAACAGTGTGCTGTGTGTGTTTTACATTGTGTGATGTTTTACTTGGGAGACATGCTGCTTTGTTTTTCTGTGCTGTGCAGAGAGATACAAAGCAGCATGTCCATGATGACAGGAGAGAGATCTGTGTTGTTTATACACAGATCTCTCCCCTCTCAGCCCTGACGACCTCACAGAGTCCTGGCTGGGACCTGGTGATTGACATCCCCTGCAGCCAATAGTGTCGCGGGTAGGGCGGCACGCGCCCCCTACCCGGAAATGCAAATCATGTATATATACACGTGATTTTGAGCAGCCATGCCGCCCTGCAGCAGTACTTCTGCTATAGGGCAGAAGGCAAGTGGTTAAAAGTGGTGCAGTCAAATTCATGTGCCTGTCTAGAACTTGCACATAACTTTGGCTCATGCTCATCACTTTTAGAATGCACACAATACACTATGGCAAAATCTGTCCCTACCAGTTTCCCTCTGTTTGCAAAAAGAAAGTTGATTTTAATTAGCTCCACTTTTATAGGACACAAACTGTCAGTATTTTATGTTGAATGTGTCGCATTGAATGCGAGACAATTGATTTTGGTGCATTCAATGTGACACATTGTAAAAGTGGTGCATTTAGAAATTTGGTGCATGATTCACTGTCAGAGCCAAAAGTGTTGCATATGCTTCATGAATTTGGCACAATACATTAACAAAAAGGATTAAAGCCAGAGAAGTGGTTGTAAAGGCAGAAGGTTTTTTTTTTTCTTTAAAAAAGGTTAAAAAGGCTTTTACATGCTGCTTCACCCTACACCTGCCCCCCTCCCCCCCCCCCCCTGCCCCCCCCCCCCCCCCCCCGCCCCCCCCCCCCCCCCCCCCCCCCCCCCCCCCCCCCCCCCAATACTCACCTCAGGGCCCTCCTGATCTGGGCTGCTCTGTGCAAAAACAATTCACAGAGCAAGTATGTATAACATATTTGTTATTTAAAAAAATAAATGAAATAAACCTTTAATATCACTTTAAGCATACGTGTGAATATAGCCTACTGGGTAGATTATCAAACATCCATACAAAAAAATCTCAGCAATATATTCAGTAATGCCAACAGGAACTTGACAAATGTTTACAAGTACTTTAAAATTTTGTTTGCTTTTAACATTTGATTTTGGTATGAATAATTTCCCAAAAGAAAACTGCAGAAACTGCTGAAAATTCCCTTGATCAAGAAATATTTTCCCATCTTGCTCCTTCACATTATCTTGTCAGTGCGGTCAAAAACAATTATTCATTAGACCCCACTAAGGATCAGAAGACAGAATGAACATTCCCAAAACAAACATTTTCTAACAAAATTCTACTAGTGTACGGCCAGCGCAAGGATTGTGAGATTTTTGCAGCAGAGTTAGCAGGTCCCCACCTGTCACAGTGATTTGTAGGGGTCATCCTCTCCCTGAGGCTTATCTGACTTCACAATATTGAGAACGCAGCTATGGCAGGAAGTTTGGGCTATAAACATTTTGGCATTATTTTAGTATTTACTTCTCCAGATGTCTTCAGGTCTCTGGTGATGTCTATCTCTTTGTGGGTGGCCCTCAATTATGTAAGCTCCACTATCTGCATCACTACACCAAGTTGCAAGGTGCTGTGATGATGCCCCCTCGGGGGCTGGGCCTTGAAACCCTGCACTCATACTATGTCCTTTTGTTTTGGGGAGTCGCATGATGCTGGGTGTCATTCAAGAGAGAAGAATGAGGACATCTAGTGATGAAAAATAACTATGGCTGTCTTCAAAAGGAAACTTGGAAAACTATAAAATGGAGGTCTTTTTAGTATTCAACAAAACACACTTGTTTAGCATTACAGGAAGGAACAGTCAGGTGATGAAACCTAATTCTTCCATGGCCAGTCACAGGCTTGGGTGGGTGCTTGACCAGGCTCTATTGCCTGAATGAAAAGTAGTCAACAGTAAGGTTCAAGTCAAAAATCAACAACCAAAAATTCCTAGCTCACTTACCAGCCAGCCTGCAGCAAACTGCAATGACCCTAACAGTTCATGTTTAACCACTTGACTACCGGGCACTTATACTCCCTTCCTGCCCCAGGCCAATTTTCAGCGTTCAACGCTGTTGCACTTGGAGTGACAATTGAGCGGTCATGCAACACTGCACCCATATTAAATTTTTATCATTTTTTTTCACACAAATAGAGCTTTCTTTTGGTGGTATGTGCTCGCCACTGGGTGTTTTATTTTTTGCGCTATAAACAAAAAAAAGACACAAATTTTGATAAAAACTTTTTTTTACTTTGTTTCTATTCTAAAATTTTGCAAACAGGTAATTTTTCTCCTTCACTGATGTGCGTTGATGAGGCTGAACCGATAGGCAGCACTGATGGGCACTGATAGGCGGCAGTGATGAGGTGGCACTGATAGGCAGCACTGATGGGTGGTACTGCTGGGCACCACTGATGGGTGGCATTGCTGGGCACAGATGGGTGGCACTGCTGGGCACCAATCATCAGGGCACTGATCATCAGTGCCAATCCATCCTCTGACAATTGCCGGTTATCGGTAGTACTTTCCTCACGCTGTGACAGTGTGAGGAAAGTGGAGCCGATAACCGGCAACTGCATTTACCGGTGATCTGCTGTGTCATTGGACATGGCTGATCACATGGTAAAAGGGCGCTGTGATTTGCCTTTTGCCACATCACGTAATCAGCTGTGTCCGTAGGAAACAGCGATCGCAGAGATTGCCGGGGGCGTGCGGGAGGACATCATATGACGCCCTCCCAGAACTGGCCGGCCACAGTGAAGCCGTCATAAGGCTATCTGCAGTCGGCAAGTGGTTAAACAAGGGGATTAGTTTGCACACATTTGCAAATATATGTGTAAGCTGCAGAGGCCACATCACAGCACCCCAGTGTATTGCAGTCTTAACTCTATAAAGTCTCCTGAGTTGGAGCACATATGTAATAATAGATAGATTGAGGGCAGGTATGCCTAGAGGGAGCCCAATTCTCCTTACAGGTATAAGGACACACTGGGCACCCAGCAACAGCACAATGGCAGCAAAGGTATCCAGTACATCCCCTTGTTTTGACGTGAACGGTTAGACAGGGTTAATTCAGTTTGTTGCAGGCTGGCTGGTATGTGAGCTGGGATTTGTTTTGTTGTTTTTCATTGCCCTTCCATGTGATCCTTGCTGCAAAGGCCATTTATAGGTTGGGGTGGTTGCCATTTCTTTGTACAGTATGGTCCAAGGCTCGTCTCTGCCGCCTGGCAGCAAGACCAGGATCACAATATTGGCTAAACAGACTTACCAGCTCTTTAACCAGTTACACAGTTCACTCACGTATGTATTGCAATTGTGCACTGATCTCTTTGCCTGGTGTTAGCCTTTAACATTTTTCCAACAAACCTATATTACAATTGCTATAGGTTAAAAATATAGTTATCCAACCAGGGCATGTGTGAGGGACAGAAAAATAATGGAGAAAAAAAACACTGGAGCACAGTTGTTTTTATTTAGTCTGACTTGCCTCATTCAAACCATGTGTGTGCCAAGCACACTCCACTGAACTAGCATCATGTTTGAATATATTACAAGGGGGTGTCTAGCTGTCCAAGCTGACCATGTAACATTCCACGCTGTGCATTGAATATTAAACTGCAAGACCAATGGAGGGTTTTAAAAGGCATAAATTACACTTGAAATCAAAGCATTCTGACAGGGCAGTCTGCAAGCAGAGCTGGAGCAGATATGCAATGGTACTTGAACAATTATGAAAACCTTTGACATACAATGGATTAAATAAGAAATGGTTCTGCATGCAGCCACAAATTTTCTCCCTCTTCTCTCCACCCTAGGTCGTCAAGCAAATGAAAGCTGTCATTTAGGAACCATTTCTATGGTACAACTGACAAAGCCTTTCACCTTTTGGGCCTGTCTCCACCACTGTCATATCAAACAGAAAATAGAAAACCCACAAACCTTACATCAGTTTCAAGAGATAATTCAGCTAAAGAACGCTACATGGAATGGACAGAGATTTTAATTTTAGTATAAAGAGAGTGGCCCACATTTTATTGCTGTCTGGTGGCACATTAGGTACACCTGGTCAGGGAAAACTTTATCCAACAAAAAAATAAAGGATCCTGAATCATTGCAAAATTAAGAATGGGGAAACCTACACTGATCTGCCATAACTTTATGATCACTGACAGGTAAAGGGAATAAAATTAGTTATCTCAATACAATGGCATCTGAAAGTCGGTGGGATATACAGTGAAGGAAATAATTATTGATCCTCTGCTGATTTTGAATGTTTGCCCACTCGCAAAGAAATGATCAGTCTAAAAATCGAATGGTAGGTGTATTGTAACACTGAGAGACAGAATAGTAACAAAAAATTAAAAGAAATGCATGTCTAACAAATTATGCACTGATTTGCATGCTCATGAGGGAAATAAGTATTTGATCCCCTTCACAAAACATGACTTAGTACTTGGTGGCAAATCCCTTGTTGGCAATCACAGAGGTCAGACGTTTCCTGTAGTTGGCCACTAGGTTTGCACACATCTCAGGAGGGATTTTGGCCCACTCTCCTCTTGGCAGATCCTCTCCAAGTCATTAAGGTTTGGTGGCTGACATTTGGCAACTCAAATGTTCAGCTCCCTTCACAGATTTTCAATCAGATTAAGGTCTGGAGACTGGCTAGGCCACTCCAGGACCTTAATGTGCTTCTTCTTGAGCCACTCCTTTGTTGCCTTGGCCAAGTGTTTTGGGTCATTGTCATGCTGGAATACCCATCCACGACCCATTTTCAATGCCCTGGCTGAGGGAAGAAGGTTCTCACCCAAGATTTGATGGTACATTGCCCCGTCCATCGTCCCTTTGATGCGGTGCAGTTGTTCTGTCCCCTTAGCAGAAAAACACCCCCAAAGCAGAATGTATCCACCATCATGTTTGACAGTTGGGATGGTGTTCTTGGGGTCATAGGCAGCATTCCTCCTCCTCCAAACATGGCGACTTGAGTTGATGTCAAAGAGCTCGATTTTGGTCTCATCTGACCACAACACTTTCAACCAGTCCTCCTCTGCATCATTCAGATGTTCAGTGGCAAATTTCAGATGGGCCTGGACATGTGCTTTCTTGAGCAGAGGGACCTTGCGGACACTGCAGGATTTCAGTCCTTGTCATCGTAGTGTGTTACCAATTGTTTTCTTGGTGACTGTGGTCCCAGCTGCCTGGAGATCATTGACAAGATCCTCACGTGTAGTTCTGGAATGATTCCATACTGTTGTCATGCTCATTGATACCCCACGAGGTGAGATCTTTCATGGTGCACCAGACCTAGGGAGACTGACAGTTGTTTCGTGTTTCTTCCATTTGCGAATGATTGCACAAACTGTTGTCACCTTCTCACCAAGCTGCATGGTCATAGTTTGGTAGCCCAGTCCAGCCTTGTGTAGGTCTACAATCTTGTCCCTGACATCCTTGGACAGCTCTTTGGTCTTTGCCATAGTGGAGAGTTTGGAATCTGATTGTTTGATTGCTCCTGTGAACAGGTGTCTTTTATACAGGTAACAAAGTGAGATTAGCAGAACTCCCTTTAAGTGACTGCTTCTAATCTCAGCTTGTTACCTGTATGAAAGACACCTGGTAGCCAGAAATCCTGCTGAATGATAGGGGATCAAATATTTATTTCCCTCATGAACATGCAAATCAGTGCATCATTTGTTAGACATGCATTTCTTTTGAATTTAGTTGTTGCTATTCTCTGTGTTACAATACACCTACCATTCAATTTTTAGACTGATCATTTCTTTGTGAGTGGGCAAACATTCAAAATCAGCAGGGGATCAAACACTTACTGTATTTTCTTCACTGTATGTTGTCAATGAAGTTGATGTACAGAAAAAACAGGCATTATTATTATTATTATTATACAGTATTTATAAAGCGCCAATTGCAGTTTCTTGTGTATGGAGCTGTGTAGCTGCAAACCAGTCAAGGTGTCCATGCTGACCCATATCCACAGCCAAAAGTGCACGTGAGTGCACAGTCCGAAATTGGGCACGTGAGTATCAGAACAGGACCACGAAGCAATGGAAGAAGGTGGCCAAGTCTGATGAATCATATTTTCTTTTACAACATGTGGATGGCTGGGTACATGTGCATCACTTGCCTGGAGAAGAGATGGAACCAGGATGCAATATGAGAATTAGACAAGCCGGCAGAGGCAGTGTGATCCTCTGGGCAGTGTTCTGCTGGGAAATCTTGGGTCCCATTATTCATGAGGATGTTACTTGACATGTACCACCTACCTAAACGTTGTTGCTAACCTATTACATCCCTTCGAGGAAACTGTATTCCTCGATAGCAGTGACCGCTTTCAGCAGGATAATGTGCCCTGCCACAATGCAAAAAATGGTTCAAGAATGGTTAGAAGAACACAACAAGTTTGAGGTGTTGACCTGGCCTACAAATTCTCCAGACCTCAGTCCATCTCTGGGATGTGCTTGAAAAACAAGTGTTATCCATTAAGGCCCCACCTTGCAATTCCAGGACTTACAGAATCTGCTACTGACAGTTTGGTGCCAGTTACAGCATACCTTCAGAGGTCTATTGGTGTCCATAGCTCGACGGGTCAGGGTTCTTTTGGCAGCCAAAGTGGGACCATGGCTGATCGGTGTATATTGCTAGAATAAATATCAATAAAGGATTAAAATGTGTGGTTCTGCAGAGACAGCTAGTCACATTCAAATACTTTGCACTATAGGAGGTACTTGGGTAGTTTTTGGAACAGGAAGACCACAATCATGGGTGGTTTGATGTCTATAATCTAACAACTGGGAAAGAAGAGAGGGAGGTGAAATAGAAAACTGCAAACATTGAACAGTTCCATCCTGGTTGGTTGTACCATGTGGCAGGAGTTTGCAGATAACAAAATCAGCTTAAAAAAAACAAAATAAAAAACACTGATTGGGCAGCAACACGTTTTGTATATTTGAGTACATACAATAGTTAAATCTATTGACACCTAAGAGTTTATTGTGCATTTTCACGATTGGGCAAGTGCTTTGAAGCTGCTACCCAAAAGCTGATAGGTGGTTGGCTGTGAATATCAAAAACTGCTGAACCCAACAGATTTCACATGAAAATCACAAACCTTTTTTGACCTGCAGCTTCCAAGTAAAACATTTTGTAAATAGATCCTCAAGTTTAACAATTATAGATAACTTACAAGCAGAATGAATGCCAATGCATTGACTAGTAATCACTATATAAGTAAAGAGGGATCCAGTGCATCATAAATATACAATACACGTTTGTTCGAACAAACCTGTAATTTTAAGACATCAAAATTCGCATGTTACAACACGGTTATATTTTCTTGAAACCCAACATCATAAATGTTCATCCTTTCACCAAACAAACGACAGTTGTGCCAATTCCAGTTCTAAACTAAAACAAACAAATGTAACTTCCCTCGGTGGAATGTGCTAA